TTACCCAAAGAAAGGACATACCCTGTGAGGACACAGTGGTAAGGCAAACCATCTCCAAGCCAAGGAGAAAGGTTCTGTCAGAGACCAACACTAACAGCATTTTAATCTGAACTTCCAGCCGCCAGAGCTGAGAAAACAAATATCTGTTATTTAAGCCATCCAGTGTGAGTTACTTTGTCATGGTCACTGGAACAGACAAATACAAGAATATACAATTAAAATTTTCCAACTTTAAAGAAGAATGATCCATGTTTTGGCTAATTCCTTAAGTAGAATGCCTTATTACAAGACAAAGGTAAATAAAGTAATATGTTTTGAGCCATTTCATATAGCAGTAAAAAGAAATAATAGATGTGGGGCTCTCCCTTATGGTGCAAGGGGTTAAGTCGCAACACCATGGAGGTATCCGCAGCCAGTGCAGCACAAGTTCAATCCCACCTAGGGAGGTGACCCACATGGCACAGCAAACCTCTCCTGTCTTGCCTGTTACTTCCCAGTACTGTATTTCAGTCAACCTGCCTGTTCTGCTTCCCACTCTGACTGGTGAATCCTCTCACCTCCTGCACCTCTTGCCTGCACCCGCTATTATATGCATAAATAAATAGATCTAAGAAAAATAACATATTGGGGCAAATGAGATCTTTTAAATATTTGAGCAAAGACATTTTTTCTTCTCTTTATTTCCCTGATATTAACTATATCTCAAACTTTTCACAAAGTTTCAGTAGAACACCCCAAGGTGCCATGAGTTTGTCAGCCACAAATCCGAAGTCTAGTTGAAGCTTTGATACAATCTGGGATATCATGGCTAAATCACTTACATTTTGGTGTCAATTTCCACATTTTAAGAAAATTTGGATTAGACTAGCACTACTAATGGGTGAATGAGGTTTACTGCAATCACAACTGCAAAAATCCGTGCAGAAACATAGACTGTGCAAGCTTGAATAGACCTCTCTGTCACAGAATTTCTTGGAGCATTTTAAAGTCAATGTGCTCTACACAAGCCGCAAGGAAAGGATACCACACACAATATCCCTCACGTGTTGTTTTGGCACACAGCACTGGAGACAGGTTACATTAGAAGAGGCTACTATTCGCTATAATTCCCCCTGGATCCCAAATGGTCAGATCCCTTTGATCCTAATGTCTTATGGTCACATCCAGAGCCTCCTAGTTCTTTGACTGTTTATTCACTAAGAAAGAGTAATAATGAAGTAAAGGGTGTTTTAGGAGGTCTACATCCAGAAAAAAATCCTTAAGAAACCACAACTATGCTCTATATTCCAGGAACAAGAATCTTTAAAGGGATAATTAGTGGGGGATTTGAAACTCCACACACTCACTGCACTTTCCATTTTTAAGGAAGTTTCCTTAAAATGTACCTGTTTTCCTATTTCAATCTGTTTCAGCATTTTTTTAAAGATTTATTTATTTATGAATACAAGAGGGGGGCGCAGGCCAGAGATGCGGGGGCGGTGGTGGTGAAAGGATTCACCAGAGATAGAGCAGGGAACAGAAAGGCAGACTGACTGAAATACACTGCTGAGGGGAGCAGCGGGCTGGACAGGAGAGGTCTGCTACACCATATGGGTAGCCCCCTGGCTGGCCAGGGAATCGAACTCATGCTGCAGAGGCTGCCGATTGCTTCAATAGTGTGGCGCTTAACCCCATGTGCCACAGGGAGGCCTGTTTTAACATTCTTTTGTTATAAGACATATGTGATATTTGGTTTGCTGTTTGTGTCCCATAGCATAGAATATATATTCATGCCAACAAAGAAATGGACTTGAAAAATGATTGGAGAAAATGCAGGAGATAATGGACAAGTAGTTATTTATAAATGGGAATTCAGCAAAATTATTAGGAGACAAGTGTGCCATGCTGACCATTGCCAATCATCTTGACATGGTTCTTTTGGAGAAAAGTAATTGCTTGCTTTGGCATCAGTCTCACCATGGACATATGTTTGGCACTGTCAGATGGTTCCTTAGGATTGATGTGAATAGTAATAATGCAGCTCAGTTCATTTA